TAATGACTTCCAAGAATTTATGAAAGAAATCATTTGACTTTTCCTTTGCTTATTTTGGCTGTTTTCATAAGCAAATTCTTGGAAATATTTTGGCTGTTTTGATAGGCAAATTCTTGAAAATACTTTGGCTATTTTAATAGGCAAATTCTTATAAGTATCTCTGTAATTATCTGTTTGTTTAAATCGATAAGTAAATTTAGCAAATTACCCAACCATAACTGCATTGCATTTTCTCAACATTTTCGTTAATGACTTCCAAGAATTTATGAAAGAAATCATTTGACTTTTCCTTTGCTTATTTTGGCTGTTTTCATAAGCAAATTGTTGGAAATATTTTGGCTGTTTTGATAGGCAAATTCTTGGAAATGTTTTGATAGGCAAATTCTTGGAAATACTTTGGCTGTTTTGATAGGCAAATTCTTGGAAATGTTTTGATAGGCAAATTCTTGGAAATACTTTGGCTGTTTTGATAGGCAAATTCTTGGAAGTATCCCTGTAATTAGCTGTTTGTTTAAACAGATAAGTAAATTTAGCAGATTACCCAACCATAACGGCATTGCATTTTCTCAACTTTTTCGTTAATGACTTCCAAGAATTTATGAAAGAAATCATTTGACTTTTCCTTTGCTTATTTTAGCTGTTTAGATAGGCAAATTCGTGGAGGTATTTTGGCTGTTTTGATCGGCAAATTCTTTGAAGTATTTTGGCTGTTTTGATAGGTAAATTCTTAGAAATACCTCGGTAATTATCTGTTTGTCTAAATAGATTAATAATAAAAGTAATTTAATTTAACATATTACACAATCATGGGTGCATTGTATTTTCTAACTCTTTTGTTAATGGCTTCTAAGTATTTATGAAAGAAATCATTCTACTTTTCCTTTGCTTATTTTGGCTGTTTTGATAGGCAAAAATATTTAGAATTTTAATAATTATTTATTCATTTATCCCATTAATGATTATATATTATTCATTTATCCAAAAATATTTAAAATTTTTATACACTCAAAAAATAAGTCATCACATGGGTACCTTAAAACTCAAGAAAACAGTACATTCAAGGAGGAAAATAAGCTCAAAAAACAACCAATTCTCAAGTACAATGGCCCCCTCAAAAGTCTAAAATGCATAATTAGCCAAAATTGCCCACCTGGCTGGGTATCTTTTGAACCTCATAAAAACAAAATCCCCAAAACAGAACATGCAAGAAATCACAAAAAGACCAGGTCTCAAACACTTATGCTCATCAAAATTTGCGAAATTCCCTCAAAGATAGCACAATTAGTGACAAATTCACCAACTTGAAGCTATTAAATCTCACAGATTTTGTAAACATCAGAAGTGAAATGGATAAGGAAAAGTTGGGGCTTACCAGTGAGCTTGAACTCTAAACCCTCTTTGAGAGCATTCAGAGACTAGGGGAACAGATAGGTCCATCTTAGAAACATAGATTCATAGGGAGAATCAAAATTGAAGCTTGTAAAAGACAAAAAAGATACTCAAGACTCTTTGAAAATCAAGAAAAAAAGTTTAGAGAAAATGTGTCATCCATGCACAGTTTAGCAAATATTTTCCAATAATGTGAACTTCCAACAACGTGAACTAACATGAATTGTCCAAAACATGAACTAATTAAAGTTGCCCTTTTCATATGACTGAAAAAAAGAAGTTAACCCAAAAAAGGTGCTCGCAAAAGTACAGATGTCATGTATGAGTATGACTTACAATTATGGTGATTGCTCTTCTTTCTTTGTCCATCATTATGTTACCGTACTGCAAATCAATGTGGCAAAAACCAATCTCTTGATGGTCATAGGACAGCTACTTTCTCTAGCAACCTGATTTCCTCTTCTAGCGTGTCCAATTGAAATTATTCTGCATCTTCTGCGGAATACAACTTCTTGGCCAGACTAGCCAGGCCGTGGCAATAAGCAAATCAACACATTGACTTACTTGCCTTTCAAATTGAATCCAATAAAAGGAAAATAAATCAGCACAATTTCAAATTACCGTATCCATACCTCAATCTTTGCTAAAGAAGGATATCTTTGGAACCTCTTATCTCCAAACTGGAACTCTCTCATTGTAGTTGCTATAAGTGAAGAAATCTCTGGGTCTCAGAGGTCAGCAGCAGAAAGTGTCTAGTAAATTTAATCATTTGCAAAAATTGAGATCAAAACATGAAACATGACATGAACTGCACAGAAAGTAAAAATCCATAGCATAAGAACAGATTGAGTTCACATCTCTTGCTTTAGAGGATTTAGGAAGGAAGCAGACTACCCTTTACCATTTGAAACTTTAAAGAGCAAAAAATGCAGACAAAACCTAGTAAACATGCAAACTTCTACTCTGTGTTAGTTTATAAACTTTATATTAGAAGTTTAGGACATAAATATGCTTATGCATTACCTTTTTGAACTCTCCTCGCTAAAAATATAACAATTTTTTAAAAAAGAAATAACAGTGAAAAGAGTTTGATCAAAAAATTAATACCACTAAAGCTTAAAGAATCAATAGGTATTCTTTTTTTGTAGGAATCTATAGTTGAGCATCAAACAATCAAGGGTCACATTCAAAACTTAAGAGGAGGATGATATACAAGAAGAACAATTAGCAAAAGAAAATGTTATGAAATTAAACTCAACTTGCAATGAAATATAATAAAAACAACGAACTGATTTAAAATTTCCTTTTAGCATAGCACCTTATTTTTTTCCCCTTAACTAGACCTTCTCTTGTTTTTTTAGCATTCTTTATCTCTAAACAAACTAATTCAGTTAAGAAACTATAATACACAGCAAAGAGAATAAGCACCCATAAGAAGCCATAAAGATTTTTAAACACAGCATGAGTTTTGTTAATGATGGCAATTTTGCCTTCATTCTTTGTGTGTGTGTGTGTGTTTTTGATCATTATTTTTTTTGCTACGCATACAATTTTCATAATAAAACATACAATTTTCATAATAAGCCATAAAAGAAGAACATTTATGCATATCAAATCACACCATGACAAAACCAATAAACTAAATCACCTGCCAAAAGACACAGTCAATCACTACAAAAAAATTATCAAAGCCTGGATCTTAGAAAGATAATTAACATTTTAACAGCCCACTTTCCTATCCTCCTCTTTTTGATGCTTAATAGCTTCAAAAGGCCACTTGTTCACCAGCTTTCAAGTTCGTTCATGATAGCTGCCTTTTACAAATCAGGTTTGTCACTTCATACGCCAAGAAGCATGCTGCATTGGCTGGGACATTTCAAGCCATGGCAGGGCCAAAACACTTATAAAGGCCTTTTACACCCTGTGAACCACGGATCCTTCTGAACGTATCATTGGAGCCAGAGAATTTGGGGATCTTGTAGTCACCTACCTTGATCACGGTATTGACAACATCAGTTGGGTAGAGAGAATCAAGAAGAAGCTCCAGCCAAGCCTTTGGCAATAATCAGAGATTCTTTTCTTAACTTGCAAGTGTCCAATCGTCAGAACTAATTAACTTAATCCCACCATGCAGTGTTAATGGATAGATTACTGTGGCTCTATAGTGACTACTATCAACTCAGCTGATGCCATTAGAGTTGCTAAAGAAATTAAAATTGAAATGGTTGTTCTATAAGATTACTAATAAAGAGAAAAAGAACCATACTTACATATAGCTGAAATGAGAAAGCTTGACTGGAATACCTAGAAGCGGCATGAATGAGAACACACCATTTTCTGACCACCATTTTCTGAACCCAAAATGAATATACATTACATAAATAATCAATGAACATGAAATGTAGATGAAATGGTCTTATCTATACCTTTACGGCCTTTTCCCTTCTCAGAACTCAACAATTAAAGACCACCAGCAAGCTACATGGGAAAAGGGCGAAAAAACAAATGACTAAGAAACCTTTGTTACCTAGCAATAAAAGTATGACTTTATGAAACTATCATAGAACCCTAATAAACACAGGAGAGTATTAGTTATCATTTATGAATCACTCCAAAATATTAACCAGGTGAATCATCATAGCACCTAACAAAATATAGTATATTATGTTGCTTGTTAGCTGTCTTATATTACAAAGAAGTACTTTTTATATGTTTCATCCAAAAAAGATATGATAGAGAAAACAACAGAGAAAAGGTTGTTGTGACTGAGCCTTACATTGTTGTTCTAGAAAGCCAAGTTGTTCTAGCTTCAATAGGAATCAATCTATGGCTACATGTTACTCTT